CATGGAGGTGAAGGCACTGGATCCCACATGGCTGGCTCTGCAGTTCCTATCCTGGACGCTTGGAAAATCAGACGGGGCATGTGTACATGCTTATCCAAAAATTTCTTTTTTTTTTTTTTTTGGAGAGGTTTTTTGCTATAGGGCGCGTGCGCTCGCCAGATAGACAGAGACAGAGAGATAGAAAGCGAGAAATCACCCCCCAGGGGGGATGGTCACACCGCAATCCCTTCTCCTCCATTCTCCTCTCGGGATCTTGGGCACGCACGCACACGCGCCAGGTGTGAGTTTAAGCCACCGGGTCCGTGACGCGAACCACGGTCGACTACGTGGGAGTCCAGGGACACAGCCATGACGCTGACTGCTGGTCCCCTTATCCAAAAATTTCAAGGAGAGAATAGAGGAGAAGGGATTGTAGCATGGTCATCACCTCTGGGGGGTGATTTCTCACTTTCTCTCTCTGGTGAACACATGCACCATGTACTAAACTCAAAAACTAAATATTCATGGAAAAAATAAACAATGAGTTCATTTGAGTGCAGAAAAGGTTTAGAAATCCATGCATAGATTGTTTTTCTTTTTCTTTTTAATTTCCAGCGGGCACAGACTCTTGCCAGAAAGAGACAGGGTTGGGGGGGAGGGAGGAAGAAGAAGTACCCTTTTCCCAAATGGGGCATGGTCATACTGTAATCCCCTCGCAATTTCTCTATCCTGTTAGGATTTGGGCTTTTATGTATACAGTGTTTTTGTTGTTTGTTTGTTTTTCTTTTTCCTTTTTTTGGAGAGGTTTCTTCCTTACTGGGTGCGTGCGCTCGCCAGACAGACAGAGAGAGACAGAGAAACAGAAAGCGAGAAATCACCCCCCAGGGGGGATGGCCGCACCGCAATCCCTTCTCCTCCATTCTCCTCTCTGGATCTTGGGCACGCACGCACACGTACCGAGCATGAGTTTTTACCCACCAGGTCCAGGACGCAAACTGTGGTCGACTACATGGGAGTCCAGCGACATAGCCATTAGCTAATTGCTGGTCCCTATTTTATTATTTTTTTAAAAATCATTTTATTTCACTTTATTTATTTATTTTAATTTGACTAGAGAGGGACAGAGAGAAAGGGGGAAAGAGAGAAAGCAAGCTACCAGGTCTGGGACTTGAACCGCAGTTAGCTATGTGGGAGTCCAGTGCCTTTAACCACTACACCACCTGCTGACCCTGGTCTCAGGTTTGTTTTTTTTTTTAAGCTGCCGGATCCGGGACTCGAACCCCAATCACCCCTGTGGGAGCCCAGCCTCATCACCATTATGGCATCTGCTACTTCTCACTTCCACTTTAGACCCAGATGCCCAAGAATGGAACCCGGCAGGGGTGGCCCAGGGCGGAGCTCCCACTGGGGTTGTCCTGTGTCCCCCCCAGGCCCTGGATGACCTGAAGGAGTCGGTGGCCGCCTCCCGCCTGCAGGAAGTGTCCGCCCACCTCGCCCGCTTCTGCGACCATTGCAAGCAGGACAAAGCCTGCCGCTTCCTGGCGGCGCAGAAGGGCGCCTACCCCGTCGTCCTCGCCGCCTGCAAGCTAGCCACGGCGGCCGACCGAAGCCTCCTGCTCCCGGCCCTCCACGCCCTGGCGGTGCTCACCGACGGCCAGCCCGACCTGCTGGACGCCCAGGGCTTGCAGCTGCTGGTGACCACGCTGGCCCAGAACGCGCACGAGGCCGACCTGGCGTGCTCGGGCATCCGCTGCGTGCGCCACGCCTGCCTGAAACACGAGCACAACCGGCAGTGCCTGGTCAAGGCCGGCGTCCTGCCCCTGCTGACCGGCGCCATCGCCCAGCACAGCCGCCACGCCGACGTGGTCAGGGAGGCCTGCTGGACCCTGCGCGTCATGACGTTGGATGACGACATCCGGGTGCCCTTCGGCCACGCCCACGACCACGCCAAGATGATCGTGCAGGAGAATAAGGGCTTGAAGGTGCTCATCGAGGCTGCCAAAGGTAGGGGTGGGGACCGGCAGGAAGCGAAGGATACAGGCAAGCCTCGCAGGGGTGGGGAGTTGGGGTTCAGGACTGCTGCAGGTATGGCTGGCTCCAGGATCCACTTACCGCTTTTTTTTTTAATGTATTTTTTTTTTTTTGGAGAGATTTTCGCTATAGGGCACGTGCGCTCGCCAGACAGACAGAGAGAGACATAGAGACAGAAAGCGAGAAATCACCCCCCAGAGGGGATGGTCACGCCACAATCCCTTCTCCTCCATTCTCCTCTCGGGATCTTGGGCACGCACGCACACGCGCCTGGCGTGAGTTTTAAGCCACCGGATCCGGGACATGAACCGCGGTCGACTACGTGGGAGTCCAGCGACATAGCCATTACGCTAATGTATTTTTTTGAAACTATTTTTTTAATTTATTTTATTTTATTTGTTATTACTATTATTTTTCATTTAAGCAACGAGACGGAGAGAAAGACAATGGAAAGAAAGCAAGCTGCCAGGTCCGGGCCTCAAACCATGGTCAGCTGTGTGAGCGTCCAGCACCTTAACCACGATGCTACCTGCCAGCCCTCTTTTTTAATGAAAAAAAAAAAAAAGGTTTGCTTTTTTTTTTCACTTAATTTTATTTGTTTGTTTTTATCATTTGACTAGAGAGGAGCAGAGTGAGAGAGAGAGAAGGAAAGTGAGAAAGCAAGCTGCCAGGTTCAGGACTCAAACCGCAGTCTGTCATGTGGGAGTCCAACGCCCTCAACCACCGCACTATCTGCCTGCCGGCCGCTCCACCTATCTCTTTCTTGGCTAAACTCCACCCACATGGCAGCCCTCATGGAAAAGTTTCCTAACTCAGGGACCAGCAGTTGGCGTAATGGCTATGTCACTGGACTCCCACATAGTCGACCGTGGTTTAAGTCCCAGATCCGGCAGCTTAAACTCACGCCGGGCGCATGTGCGTGCATCACCAAGATCCCGAGAGGAAAAGGAATTGCGGCCTGGCCATCCCCCCTGGGGGGTGATTTTTTGCTTTCTGTCTCTGGCAAGCACATGTGCCCTATTTTTTTAAAAGTATCCTAAATCTCCCCCATGGCTCCAGCGTTTCTTGGCCAGGAACAGGTCCCATCCCATTTCAGGAGCCGTTTTGGTGGAGACTTGTGGTGTCCAACTACACGGACTTAGAGTGGGGTGTGAGGAGCTCCCCAAAGGGAAATACAGAGCTGGGGTCTTCCAAACGATTACAGAGGGGGCCAGTAACAGGTGCTAGTTGAGATACTAGATCTCACCTGGCCAGCTGGGCAGTCTGAGTTTTGGAACTGGCAGTTTGTGTGTGCTCACGTGTGTTTCTGAGAGGTTTCTGCTATTGGGCGCATGTGCTCGCCAGAGAGACCGAGAGACAGAAAGCGAGAAATCACCCCCCAGGGGCGGTGGCCACACCGCAATCCCTTCTCCTCCATTCTCCTCCCGGGATCTTGGGCACGCACGCACACGCGCCCGGTGTGAGTTTAAGCCACCGGGTCCGGGATTCAAACCGAAGTTGACTACATGGGAGTCCAGCAACATAGCCATTATACCAACTGCTCGTCCCAATTAAAAAAAAGTACAGGGACTGGCAGGTGGCGTGGCATGGTGGTTAAAGGCGCTGGACTCCTACATGGCCGACCACGGTTCGAGTCCTGGACCTGGCAACTTGCTTTTTCACTTTCCCTCTCTCTCTTTCTTTCTGTCCCTCTCTAGTCAAATGAAAATAAATGAATATGTAAATAAATAAAGTTAAATAAAATCATTCTGTTTTAAAAATTTTTTATGTATTCATTCATTTATTTCTAATTTGACCAGAGAGAGAAACACAGAGAAAGAGAAAGAGGGAAAGTGAGAAAGGACTCGAACCACGATCACCCGTGTGGGAGTGTCTAGCTCTCTAACCACCACACCACCTGCTGGTCCCCGTAAATAAAATAATTCTAAAAAAAAAAAAAAAAAAAAGACAGAAAACCGCCCCGCAAAAAAAAAAGGACGAATACACGCCCCGTCCCTTCGGCCCAGGTGTCTGTTCCTGAGTTCAGTCCGCTGGACCCACGTTCACAGTCACCAACGTCTCCTTGGTCCCGAGGTCCCTGCATGGTTTCTGGGTTTCCGGTCACACTCAGAAAACTCATCCCCACTCCCAGATCCTAAAAATAGCCTCGGATGTTTTCTTTCAGCTCCGAGATGCTTTGCTTTTTTTAGGTGAGACCATCAGTTGGTCTGGAATTTGGGAAACTAGAGGAGGATGCATGGGGGGCGGGTTGTATTATTGTGTCTTTCCCAGCGGGCAGCAGGGGGCGCTGTGGGGTCAGGCAGCCTTGGCTCCTGGGGTCCCCTGGGGGCTCCTCCCAGCCCTAACGCTGCTCCTCCCACCTCTCTGTTTCCAGCCTTCCATGACAACCCCGCAGTCCTGAGTGAACTCTGCAGCACCCTGTCCCGCCTGGCTGTCCGGAACGAATTCTGCCAAGAGGTGGTTGACCTCGGGGGCCTCGATGTCCTCGTGGCCCTGCTGGCTGACTGCAACGACCACCAGGTGGGGCTCCCGGAGCCACCTTAGAGCGTGAAGACCCAGCCCCCCAGCCTGGGTTTCTCCCCCACGGCTCCTGGCTGCCTGACACCCCTCTACCACCCTGGACCCTGGCCAGCTGGACAGTCCAGGACCAGGACAAGCCAGCCTTGTCTGCCAACCCTGGAACCTGATGGCAGATTCCATTTGTCACCGACCCTGGCGACGGGAGCCAAAGTTTGGGTGGAAAAGCAACACCCCTCCCCCTCCATGCTCTGTATGTTTTTTTTTTTTTTTTTTCCTTTTTAAAGAATTATTTAATTTTATTTCTTAGTTATTAGCATATTGTTCTATTTTCATTTGAGCAGAGCAAGAGAAAGAGAAAGTGAGAAAACAAACCACCAGGTCTGGGACTCGAACCGTGGTCGACCACGGGGGAGTCTAGCGCCTTAACCACCACACCACCTGCCAGCCCCTTAAACCTCTGCTTTTGAACATGTATATGTTCTCCCAGGAGATGATAAAGCAACGAAGCAGGATTCAGGTAGGGGGGACCCTTCCCTAGCCTGCGATGTTTGGGTGAGACCTTGTCCCTCTCTGCCTCAGTTTCCCCAACTAGAAGGAAGGCAGAGGATCCCCGTATCCCACTCCTTCATTTTAGCAGCTGTTTATCAACCTCCTTGGTGCATACCCAGCCCAGGGAGCAAACCAGCATCCACCCGTCCAGGTGCTGCATGGGAAGGATCCCCACGGGGTGCCTGGCCATCAGTCCCGCTGCCCCCAGGCTCCATCCGGGACATCAGCCAGGCTTGTTCTGTGCAGGTGGCAGGAAGGTGAATTTGAATCCGCTTCCGTCAATAAGGGAATGCATTTTGCTTATAATCTTGGACAGCCGGGAGCCTCTGTTTCCCTCCTGTCTTTCCTCCGGCCCCCACCAGGTGGTGAGCAATCCCAGCCGCGTCTCCCTGGCCGTCCTCAACTGGGGCCAGTCAGTGCCCGCCCTAGACCCAGGCCAGGGGCCCTGTGATTTGATCGCTGGCCCTAGTCACTCCTGCTCTATACCGCAGGGGTCCAGAGGTCAAGTCACTCGAACCACACTCATCCTGCCCCTCTACACCCCGAACCCCAGGTGTCCACCTCCCCATGCCCTGCCTGCCTTCTCCGAGCAGTGGCTAATAACTGTTGTCACGGGTCACCCACTCGCCCAGTATGGCCACAGTGAAGCAGCCTCAGACCCTCCCTCCAACGCCACACCTCCCCACAAGCCAGAAACAAAGCAGGTGGCACAGTTCGGTGTAGAGTTACAGGGGGCAGGACAGCAGGTGGTGTGCTGGTTAAGGTGCTGGCTTCCCACAAGGGCGGTTCAAGTCCCAGACCCGGTGCCTTAAGCTCACACCAGGCGCATGTGTGTGCGTGCCCAAGATATGGAGGAGAAGGGATTGCAGCATGGCCACCCCCACAAGAGGGTGATTTCTCACTTTCCCCTCCCTCTCTTCCCCTCTGGCAAATGCACACAACATATGACAAAATTCTAAAACAAAAAGAGGGAGGGGACCAGCAGTTAGCATAACAGCTATGTCGCTGGACTCCCCAACTACTGTTCAAGTCCCAGACCCGGTGCCTTAAGCTCACACCAGGCGCATGTGTGTGCGTGCCCAAGATATGGAGGAGAAGGGATTGCGGTGTGGCCATCCCCCCCTGGGGGGGTGATTTCTCGCTTTCTGTCTCTCTGTCTCTGTCTCTGGCGAGCGCACGTGCCCTATAGCAAAAACCTCTCAAAAAAATTAAATAAAGAGGGAGCGGGCTGGACTGGGGCGGGGTAGGTGGTGGACGCTCCTCCCCCTTCGCACAGGACCTCGTCAAGCAAGTTCTCAGCGCCCTGCGGGCCATCGCGGGCAATGACGACGTGAAGGACGCCATCGTCCACGCCGGCGGGACGGAACCCATCGTGGCCGCCATGACCAGACACCTGGCCAGCCCCCAGGTACCCAGCTCAGCAGGCGCATGGGGCCGGGTGGTGGCTGGAGTCCGGGTTCGTTTTCCTGTGTCCACGCAAAGCTCTTCTTCAAGGCCTGGAGCAGGGCTGGGGCAGGAAGGTGGAGGGCAGGGGCTCTAGCTGTCGGCAGGACCCTGGGTACCTCTGAGCAACCGTCTGGCCAGAGCCACTGTCGTCACCACTAAGAGCACAGTGGAGTGTTTTTTTTTGTTTTTTTGTTTTTTTTTTAGAGAAATTTTTGCTATAGGTCTTATGTGCTCGCTAGAGAGACAGGGAGAGGCAGAAAGTGAGAAATCACCTCCCAGGGGGGATGGTCACGCCGCAGTCCCTTCTCCTCCATTCTCCTCTCGGGATCTTGGGCACGCGCGCACACGCGCCCGGCGTGAGTTTCAAGCCACCGGGTCCGGGACTCGAACCGCGGTTGACTACATGGGAGTCCAGCATGTAGCTGTTCCACCAACTGCTGGTCCCTCAGTGGATGATTTAATCCCGTCCTGTCTATTACTACGTTTTAGCGACAGACTCGCAGAGAGCCAGGGTCAGAGTGGCTCCCCCATCCCAGGTCAGGGAGCTTGGTGGGAGAACACCGGCTGGGTACAGCGGTCACAGGTGGCGGGTGAGGGGCAGGGGCCCCTCTGCGGTGAGGGGCAGGGTCCCCTCTGCCGTGTCTAAGCCTCCCCGCGCCACCCCCCTGCAGGTGTGCGAGCAGAGCTGCGCAGCCCTGTGTGTCCTGGCCCTGCGGAAGCCCGAGAACAGCCGGGTCATCATGGAGGGAGGCGGCGCCCTGGCAGCACTGCGGGCCATGAAGGCCCATCCACAGGAGGCCGGCGTGCAGGTGGGCAGGTGGGCAGGGGGCGGGCGGCGTGGAAGTGGGGGTGAGCAAGAGACTGGGGTGCTGGGTACGAGGGACGGGGTAGGGGGCTGTGTGCATGGCGGTGGGCTGCAGGTGGGGGGCATCCGGACCGGAAGCAGCCGGGTGCTGGCCCTGCCCTTCACTCTTATCCCAGACCCCGCCCCAGCCTGGATCTCGCGAGATCTCTATCCTTCCCATCTCGCAGAAGGAGCTGAACTGTCTGCCCCGGGGCTGTCTTCTTTCCTGTCCCTTAGCTCTTTCTGCATTCTTTTTTTTAAATCTGCCAGAGGACACACATATGCTCGCCAAAGAGAGAAAGAAGGAGAAAGCACCCCTCATGGGAATTATCACGCCACAATCCCTTCTCCATGCTGTCGGGATCTGGGGCATGCACACACATGTGCCTAATGTGTTTTTCTTCTTTTTTCTTTTTGTTTTTTTTTTAGAATTATTTATTTAACTTTATTTATTCATTCATTTTAATTTGATCAGAGAGAGACAGAGAAAGAGAGAAAGTGAGAAAGCAAGCCACCAGGTCCAGGATTTGAACCATGGTTTGGCATGTGGGAGTGTCCAGTGCTTCACCCACCGCGCCACCTGCTGGTCCCATCTTCTTCTTTTTTCTTAATAATTATTTAACTTGGGGGCCGGCAGGTGACGTGGTGGATAAGAGCTCTGGGCTCCCACATGGCTGACTATGGTTCAAGTCCCGGACCTGCCAGCTTGCTTTCTCACTTTCCTACTTTCTCTCTCTCTCTCTCTCACTCTGTCCCTCTCCGGTCAACTTAAATAAGTAAACAAACAAATAAAAATAAACTTCAATAAAATTTTTAAAAATTAATTATTATTATTATTTAACTTTATTTATTTTATTTTTTTTGTTTCATTTGACCGACAGGGACAGTAAGAGAGGGAAAGTGAGAAAGCAAGCTGCCAGATCCAGGACTTGAACCGCAGTCAGCCATGAAAGCTCAGCGCCCCCAACCACCACACCACCTGCCAGTCCCCCTAGTGTGTTTTTCAAACCACCAGTGCCGGGATTTGAACTATATAGTCACTCCTTAACCACTAGGTCAGAGGGCCGGCTCTCTTTCGGTATTTATTTATTTATTTATTTTGAGAATTTGTTGCTATGGGGCGTGTGTGAGACAAAGACAGAGAGCCAGAAAGTGAGAGATCAACCCCCAGGGGGGGAATGGCCAGCTGCAATCCCTTCTCCTCCATTCTCTTCTTTGAGCAGGGCATGCACATTTCTAGCATGAGTTTCAAGCCACCGGGTCCAGGACCTGAACTGTGGTTGACCATGTGAGAGTCCAGTTCCTTAATCACTACACCATCTGCTGGCCCCTGTATTTTTTACAGATTTTTGCTATGGGCACGTGTGCTCGCCAGAAAGACCGAGAGAGACAGAGAGACAGAAAGCAAGAAATCACCCCCCAGGGGAGATGGCCACGCCGCAATCCCTTCTCCTCCATTCTCCTCTCGGGATCTTGGGCACGCACGCACACGCGCCCGTCGTGAGTTTAAGCCACCGGGTCCGGGATGTGAACCGCGGTCGACTACATGGGAGTTCAGTGACGTAGCTATTATTGCCATCTGCTGACCCTTTAAATAATTATTTCATTTAACTCTATTTATGTAAATTAGATGAGAGACAGAGAAGGTGAAAAAGTAAGCTGCTAGATCTGGGACTCAAACCCACAGATGGCCATGTGGGAGTCCAGCACCCCTAACCATCATGCCACCTCCCGTCCCCTCTCCTCACTTTTCTCCAAGGATATGGAGGGATTTTTTTTTTTTTTTTGAGAGGTTTTCGTTACACGGCACATGCGCTCGCCAGACAGACAGACAGAGACAGAGAGACAGAGAGCGAGAAATCCCCCCCCCAGGGGAGATGGCCACGCCCCAATCCCTTCTCCTCCATTCTCCTCTCGGGATCTTGGGCACGCACGCACACGCGCCCGGCGTGAGTTTAAGCCACCGGGTCTGGGTCGCAAACCGCGGTCAACTACGTGGGAGTCCAGCGACATAGCCATGATGCCAACTGCTGATCCCAGGATATGGAGGGATTAACCCTACTTCCCAGAGTTAGTTCCTGAGAGGGTGGGTGGGGAGGTGGGTCTAGCCTGGTACAACATGGACCCTGGACATCGTCCACTGCATTCACGCCTTTCCTGCATTGTGATGAGGATCCCGGGGTCAGAGTGGACCCCATCCCAAGGCCCCACCCACCAGCTCACAGCCGCCCTCTCCTCCAGAAACAGGCCTGCATGCTGATCCGCAACCTGGTGGCCCGCAGCCAGGCTTTCTCGAAGCCCATCCTGGACCTGGGGGCCGAGGCCCTGATCCTGCAGGCCCGTGCGGCCCACCGCGACTGCGAGGACGTGGCCAAGGCCGCCCTGCGGGACCTGGGCTGCCGCGTCGAGCTCCGGGAACTGTGGACGGGCCAGAAGGGCGACCTGGCACCGTGACCCCACGCTCGGACTAGGCATGACTCTGGGTGAGTCGTGGGACTCAGGAGCAGCAGAGACCCGTCAACCACTCTACACCCCACTGTCTATTCCCCCCACCATGAGAGGTGTTTTCTTTTTCTTCTTCTTTTTTTTTTTTTTTTTTGCAGAGGTTTTCGCTA